TTCTTTTCCTAAGTTATAACCTGGTGCCATAAACTATTAATGGAATACTAAAAACAGTATTGGTTACAAGGATGCCAGGAAGACTCCTCCAAATTTGGAGAATGGATCTGTGAATGATTTTTTTTCCCCTCACACAGGGGCAATTGCCCTTTATATCAAGTCCTTTTAGACATAGTAAAGGTATAGTGGAAAGAATATTAAACTTGGAGGCAGAAGATTTGGGTATGACTTGCTCTTCACATTTTAATTTTACAAAAATTTTTAACTCTGTATTTCAGTGTCTTTATCTGGAAATCAGAGTTAATTATCACAATCTTACAAGAAATTTGTATTAATTAAGAGATATAACTATATAGACAATATATAAATATAAAATTAAGGGATAAAATATAAAATTATGTATTAGAATAAAACAATATAAAAATAACATTATTTAAAGCTATAATTATTTTTGAATGAATATTAAGGAGTCAAAATTAGCAAGACATTGATACTATTCTATGCATGGGACCTAACTCTTTCCATTAATAGATTTACATACTTGCTACATTTACTTAAAATCTTTGTGCCTCAGTTTCCTGATGTAAATGGAAATTAACACTTCCTGGCCTATAGTTGTGGTAAGGACTAAAATACTTAATGTACACAAAGTATTCAGTACAATGTTTGTACATATTTGTTTTTAACATAACTCAGTTTTCTTTTTTGTTTTTTAACTATTTATCATACACAAAAGTATCCCAATGAACTTCTATTCTATCACTCTAAGGGAGTCTTCTTCAGTGGCTTTCTGGCCTTCCACCTGATGTTCTTTTAAGCAGCATTAAAATGGTATTAAAATGTTATTGTAACTATGATACCTATATTCATAATTATTATTGTTTTAAAAGTGGTTAAATCTACTATGTTTAAATCAAAGTCAACTACTTACCAGGAAAATAATTTGTTAAGCTTTACTGTATTTACTTTGATGTTTGAAAGAATAAATTATGTAATAAAGTCAAATATCAAAGTTGTAAAGGATATGAAGGGTGCCTGTAGAATAATCTTGCATCATATCCTTGAAAGAATGTCTTTTGATCCATACTTAAACTCATATGGTATGATGGTGATCTCACTCTCCACAAGACAACCTACCTCACTAAAGTTTATGTTTCTTTCTATAGTGAAACAAAACCTAAGTTTTTATTAGGTCCACACCCTTTCACAGGTTAGTCACAGTGGAAAAAGCAAACAGACCTACATAGAAGCTTCTCAAGTATTGAAAGTCAAGTGCCATGTCTCTGCTTCTCTAAACGTAATACTTCAATAGGCGCTATTACAGTGGAAGAGTTGGAGGTGTTGATTTTGGAATCAGACCTGGAGTTTATTCCTAGCTCAGTCACTTTCCAGCTGTGTGATCAAGTTATTAAACCTCCCTGTACTTTAATTTTCTCTTCTACCTGACAAGACTGTTTTGAGATTTAAGTAAGACACAAAATAAAACTACTGGACTTTAAAAAAAATCATGGAACCTTACAAATGTTCAATCAATATTACCTGTTATTTATGCTAAATCTTTTTCACATGGGACAGTTTACAGACATTTAAGTTTCCCAATCTTCCCTTGAATGTACTTGGCTTATTAATGTTGTTTTTAAGGTACTTTTGCTAGAAAAACACATAGATAATAGTAATTGTTTATTATTTATTAAATTCTGTCTTAAATGGTTATGCTAATTGTAAATATCTACATAGTCCCAGAAATGTTTATAAAGTTGAAATTGTGTTGTTGCAATGTTGCTACATGCAAAAACTTAAACATGTTAGAGACAAGGAAAGAAAGAAGCATGAAGCCTTGAGGTCAGAATTGGAGTTCACTCTCCAGACTTGAAGAGATGTATTTCCTATTTCAAAACAGCTCACTATCATTATTTTATTTTGAGTGACAAATGTGGTTAACTTTAATTGCTTCCTCAGAGCTAACAACGACTGAATCATGAGAAATGCTCAAGGGTATCTGAAGAAAGTGATCCAGGAAAAAGAGTGTGTTCAAATCTTGATAGTATATGTTCTTGGGACCTTTTAATATAAACACCAAATTTTAGTTCCTGAGGCTGGGATACTCTGGGAACTAGAATATTTCACAACACCGCAGGAAATTCTACCATGGTCCCTATGGACAATGTGAGTATTTAGAGGTATTACATTTTGAGATTTTGTATTTAAATTCATGATCCATTTAAATATATTTTTGTATAAAATGTTAGGTATAGATCTACTAAGATCATGCTTTTTGTACTTTTTTGGTTTTGTTTTTGTTTTTCTATATGAATTTTCAATTGTTCCATAATTATTTGTTGAAAATACTATATTTCACTTACTTGCCTTTGCATAATTTGTCAAAAATCAATTGATCATATATGTGTGGTTCTGTTTTGGGGTTTTCTATTCTACTCTTTTGAGCTGTTAGTCCCGTCTTTCACCAGTTAAAAGTGATTTTTTTTTTTTTTTGAGTTGGAATCTCACTCTGTTGCCCAGACTGGAGTGCAGTGGCCGCTCCCGGGCACCACAGCCTCCACCTGCTGGGCTCCAGCGATTCCTCCACCTCAGCCTTCCAAGTAGCTGGAACTACAGGTGCGCGCTACCACGCCTGGCTAATTTTTTGATTTTTATTGCAGAGATGAGGTCTCGCCAAGTTGCCCAGGTGGGTCTCCAACCCACGGGCTCAGGCAATCCGCTCACCTCAGCCTCCCAAAGCATAGGATTACAGGCTAAGCCACCAAGCCTGGCCAAAAGTGATCTTGATTAATATAGCATTATAATAAGTTTTAAAATCAGGTAGTACAAGTCCTCGAACTTTGTTGTTTTTCAAAAGTGTTTGTCTATTAGAATTATTTTTCGTTTCATATAAATTTATCTTGTTAATATCTAAAAAATTATGTTTAAATTCATATTGGAATTGCTTTTATTATATTGTTTAGTTCTGAATGAATTGATTTTTTAACAACATTGAATCTTTCAGTCCATTAGCACAGTTTATATATGTCTTCTTTGATTGCTTTTGTTAATGTTTTTGTTAATGTTTTGTTTTCAATATATTGACTGTTATAAACGATACTATTAGTTTTGATTTCCAATTTTTGGTTGCTAACATAAGGAAATATATTTTTGTATATTGACTTTGTACCCAGTGACATACTAAATTTAGTTATTACTTTTATTGTAGCTTCCTAAGGATTTGGGGGTAAATAAACATTATTTTTAAATAGAAACAGTTTTGTTTTTTAATTTTTTATCTTCTTGCCTTTTTTGTTGTTGTTGTTCCTTATGGCACTGGCTAGGACTCCCAGTGTGATGTTAAATGTTTCTAATTTCTTAAGCATCAATTATATTTCTCAGTTCTAAAATTTTTGCCTGCCTAATTTTTTTTTTTTTAAGTCAGGCTGAAGTGACTCCATTGTCCAGGCTGAAGTGCAGTGGCATGCTCATGGCAACCCCGCTGTCAACCTGCTGAACTTCAGTGATCCTTCTGCCTCAGCCTTCCAAGTAGCTGGAAATACAGGCACGCACTACCATGCCAGCTAATTTTTTAACTTCTTGTAGAGATGAGGTCTCACCATGTTGCCCTAGCTGGTCTCAAACCCTCGGACTCAGGCAATCTGCTTGCCCTGGTCTCCCAAAGTGCTGGGATTACAGACCGAGCCACGGAGACCAACCTCTGACTCGTTTTTAAGACATTATATTTGTCTGCTGAGACCTTGTTTTCTTCCATTTATTTTAAATGTGCATATCTATACTTCTTGGAGCATTGTTATAATAGATGTTTTAACATCTTTGATAATTCCAACATCAGGTCATCTCTGAGTTGGTATTTATTTATAATCTTTTCTCATGAGAATTGGTTGCATGTTGTGTGTGTGTGTGTGTGTGTGTGTGTGTGTGTGTGTGTGTGTGTTAATTTCAAACAGCATTCTAGACAGTATGGTCTATGGTGTGTTACTTAGACTCTGGATCTTGTTAAAATATACTGAAGAATTTTTTTCTTGTTTGTTTGCCTTAACAGATCATTCCAGTTAGCATCAGACAAATAGTTCCTTTTGTCTTCTGTGGGCAGTGTTTCCAATATCAGTTCAATTTTCAAAGCCTTTTACAAGTTTCATTGTGTTTGTTCTTCAAATGTACCACTCAGAGGTTAGTATGAGATTTTGTCACTCAGGATAGCATGAGTCCTAGGTAGTGTTTCAAAGCCTTTGTAATACTTCTCTGGGTTCATTCTACACATGCACAGCTTTGGAGTGAGCCCTGGCTTTTTCCCTTTCCCAGCTCTTTTTTCTATAGAAATATACTACCACCACTCCCACTTCACTCCCCCTCCCCCAACATATACACTAACTTTTCTATGCAGGGATCCTCTGTTCAGAAATTGAAATTTCTCTCAAAGTTATTGCATCTCATGCTGTTGCCACATCATTCCAAAACTGAGACTGCCTTTGGAACACAGCTAGCATTAAAAGATAAATAGAGAGAAACAGGGATTCCATCATATTCTTTGATTACAGAAGCTTCTTTTCTCAGGTTCCCTGCTCAAAATCATGAGCTATCTATTGGCGCTTCAGTATCCTGAGCAACCACACACAATTCTGTAACTGTGGTTCACTCTAAGTTCAAAATCACAAGAGTAGAGAGGAAAAACAGCAGAAATTCACATCTGTATGGGTTTCTCCCTCAGATTTTGTATTCTCTCCCAGTCTGCCTCCTCTGTTTACCTTTCCAAGTTCTTAAGCAAATAATTTGTGTTATTTTATCTAGAGTTTTAACTGTAGTTTATGAAAAAGATTGACTGTGGTGACCTTTTGAGAAAACCAAAAGGTCCAGAGTTCAAGAACTTTTATTGTCCTTATGTTTTAATGTAGATCTGCCCCTACATAAGAAGGTTGATTGTTGATTATTAAAACATAAAACAAACATATCCATCAAAGAACTTTCCAACTTAACATGTGTCCAACATTCTGACAAAGATGAGAAATCTCTCAGTGGTGACTGAATTTATCCTGCTGGGCATCCCACACACAGAGGGTCTGGAGACCATGCTCCTTGTCCTGTTTTTGTCCTTCTACATCTTCACCCTTCTGGGGAACCTGCTCATCCTGCTGGCTATTATCTCCTCTGCTCAGCTTCACACACCCATGTACTTCTTCCTGTGCAAACTGTCTGTGTGCGACATATTTTTCCCTTCTGTGAGTTCCCCTAAGATGCTATTCTACTTGTCAGGGAACAGTCAAGCCATCTCCTATGCAGGCTGTGTGTCCCAGCTCTTCTTCTACCATTTCCTGGGCTGCACTGAGTGTTTCCTGTATACAGTGATGGCCTATGACCGCTTTGTAGCCATATGTTACCCTCTTCGCTACTCCATAATCATGAGCCACCGAGTATGTGCCATCCTAGCTACTGGGACCTCATTTTTTGGCTGCGTTCAGGCCACCTTTCTAACTACTCTCACCTTCCAATTACCCTACTGTGGCCCCAATGAAGTAGACTATTACTTCTGTGATATCCCAGTGATGCTGAAACTGGCTTGCGCAGATACCTCAGCCCTGGAGATGGTGGGATTCATCAGTGTGGGCCTCATGCCACTCAGCTGTTTCCTTCTCATTCTTACCTCCTACAGCTGCATTGTTTGCTCCATTCTTCAAATTCAATCAATAGATGGCCGACTCCGCGCCTTCTCCACCTGCAGTGCCCACCTCACTGCCATCCTCCTCTCCTTTATGCCAGTGGTCCTCATCTACTTGCAGCCCACCCCCAATCCATGGCTGAATGCAGCAGTTCAGATCCTGAATAACCTGGTCACCCCCATGCTGAATCCTTTGATCTATAGCCTGCGAAACAAGGAAGTTAAATTTTCTCTGAGAAAGTGCCACAGCAAGTGGCTTTCCTTTCTGAGATAGAGAAAGATCAGTAGCTTAACACTAGTAAAAACCACATTACTTAGAAAAGTTATTTCCTTTTGTGCAATAGGTGGCACATATATTATTGCTACTTCCTTTAACAGATGAAAAAGCTAAGGCTTGGGTGTACAAAGTGAACTGCTTTAGGTGAAGTAGCTAATAAATTATCCTTCCCAGGAAGAATTACTTCTTCCTTGTTGGCAAAATATTCTGGACCTTCTCTTCAATTGTCTCTTCTATTTTCCTCTTTTTTTTTTGAGTTGAAGTCTCACTCTGTTGCCCAGACTGGAGTACAGTGGCATGCTCCCGGCCACAGCAGCCTCAACTTGCTGGGCTCCGGCAATCCTTCTGCCTCAACCTTCCAAGTAGCTGGAACTACAGGCACATGCTACCACACCCAGCTAATTTTTATTTATTGTAGAGACGAGGTCTTGCCAAGTTACCTTGGGGGGTCTCGAACCCATGGGCTCAGGCAATCCACTTGCCTCGGCCTCCCAAAGTGCTGGATTACAAACTGAGCACAGAGTCCAGCCTATTTTCTTGCTCTTACATCCTCTTCTTCTCTTCTCGCCTTCCTTTCTCTAGTACTTTTTCTTATACATTGGCATGATTATTTAATTGTCTTCTCAAATGTCTGAATTAAGTAAACTCTTATTTGATGATTTAAAAGTTGTTGCAATAATAAGAGAGTTTCAACTATATGAAAGTAGTATCCTGTGATGTCTGAAACATAAAGTTGTGTTAAAAAAAAAAAAGAACTTCTGAAAATGTTGTAAGGCAGACCTCTTATGGATGAATCAAAGAAATATTACAAATCCTATCTGTTGGTTTAAACCTAAAAACAGGCCCCAGTTGGTGCTAAGATAGTGGATTAAAGAAAATGTGAAAAGGATAGATAGAATGTACAAAGGGGCGACTGATTTGGTTGGCTTTCAGTATTAGAAAATTTACTTTTTTTTTTTTTTGAGTTGGAGTCTTACTCTGTCGCCCAGACTGGAGTGCAGTGGCCACTCCCGGCCACCACAGCCTCGACCTGCTGGGCTCTGGCGGTCCTTCCGCCTCAGCCTTCCAAGTAGCTGGAACCACAGGCGTGCACTACCATGCCTGGCTGATTTTTGATTTATTGTAGAGATGAGGTCTCGCCAAGTTGCCCAGGCAGGTCTCGAACCCATGGGCTCAGGCAATCCACTCACCTCAGTCTCCCAAGGTGTGGGATTACAGGCTGAACCACTGAGCCCGGTTTACGTTTGGTTTTGTTATCCCCAGTATAGACAAGGATCAATGCAAATTCCAAGCTGTTATTATTTTACGGTTTTGGATATTCTGTTTATACAATGGCTTCAGCTTTAGTTCCCTTCCCCTTAAATTCATTTGTTCTTTTCCCTAGTAAGTTTAGCATGAGAAATGTGCTATTATAATCCAGATAGCATTTTGATGGAAAGAAAGAACAGTGAGAAGTAGTCTATGGGAAAGGAAGTGGATTCTGGAAGGGAAGAGGTGATGGGAAAAGAAAGAGGTGATAAGAAGAAAAAAAGGGTGCCGAGAAGGGAAAGGACAGAGGCATAAGCAAGTCTTCCCTCTCTTTGGTTCTTTTCAGGATCAAAGATCAGTCAAGGAATCTGTTGGACTGAACCAGATACAACATTGTGTTTAGGACTCATGTGAGGATAGTGAGCTGATGCATGTTTTTGAAATGTGAAGTGGATTGCCTGAGCCTGCCGGTTCTAGACCCGCCCGGGCAACTTGGCAAGACCTCATCTCTACAATAAATAAAAAATCAGCTAGGCGTGGTAGCGCACGGCAGTGATTCCAGCTACTTGGAAGGCTGAGGCGGAAGGATCACCGGAGCCCAGCAGGTCGAGGCTGCGGTGGCCGGGAGCATGCCACTGCACTCCAGTCTGGGCGACAGAGTGAGACTCCAACTCAAAAATAAATAAATAAATAAAAAATAAAAGAAAGGGAGAACACTTTCTGCTCACGTCTCCTAAGCTCTGTGCCTCTTGTTTGTTCTACTTGGAATGCTCTTCCAAGTGTCTTCAGCTGAACAAACTCCTTCTCTTCATTCAAAACCCAGTTCAAGTACTATGTTCTATGTGAACCTTTTTTATTTTTTAATCTCAAGCAGAGTCAGATTCCCACTTTTCTATGTTTTGAATTAGACTTGACAATGTCATTACTCGATTGTGGAAGAATAAGTTTGGGCAGAGCATTTTCCAAGAGTAAACACTAGGTAGATTAAGAGAGGCTAAGAACGAAAAGGAGCTAGTTGAAGACTGACAGTACAGAATTGTCAGTTCATTTGTTGAACATATAAAAGTCTGAATACCAGATGATTTTTTTTATTGTGGTTTATGGTGCTGAACCTCAGTCTCCTCATATCTGTTAGTTATTTTGTACGTTCAAGCATCTCCAAAGCATTGAAAACATCCTTGTCTAGCCTTTGGGATGCAGCTTCAATGAGCCACAGTGCTTGTCTGTGAAAGAACTTTTATTGAATAGAGGAAACATGATACCAGTCATCTTTTATATTCATTTAACAAATACATATTTATGGAGCCCTCACTTGGACCAAGTGTTATACAGAGGGGTAGGTGGGAAAATAGAGCACCAGAGTAAAGTGTGGCAAGTTAACTAATACAGAAATTCAAGAGATGCTGAGGATACCAAGGCCCTGTGTTTTAATCCTTTCTTTTCCTACTTTCTTAAAGTTCCCCCCTCCAAAAAAACTGAGTTATTTGGTTGAGGAAATATTTATTAAGAAAACTTTAAGTCATTATTTAGAAGAATGTCAGATATTTAGTAAGTAGAAGGAAATATTTATGTACATTTTTTTCTCTGCCACAAGTTTTGAGCCCCAGTTTCTTCCTTGGTTAGATGAAAATAGTAATACTTTACTTACGTTGCCATTGTAAAGATTACATAACACAAAAGCAAAATGTTCATACAACTTATAGTAGGTACTCCAAAAAATTAGTCATTAAAATATTGTTTGCATTTTTCTTGATAATTTTATAGTTGTCTCACACACTTCAGTCAAGTCTTTCATCTTCAAATGGCACAACCACAGAAAAGACATTCAAAATCATACTATTAAAATAGTCACAGAATTCATTACACTTTTTCCATTTATGTTTGACTATACTTTGATTTGTCACATGTATCACTAACGGGCAACTTACTTATTTCTAATTGTTTATTGATTATCTTTCTAACCAAAGCATAATCTCCCCAGTAGAAGTTTTGCCTGCCTTTTTTATTCTTGTACCTCCAAAAACTAAAGTGGTGCTTTTCATGTAGAATGCCCTTAAAAATATGATTTTCTGTAATCATACTCTTGTTCTCTATGAAAAAGACAATTCCTTATCATCCATTTCATTTTAGATATTGTATTCCCCCCCTTGTTTTCGTAGACTTAAGTGTTTGCCTTCATTTCCAACTAGGACTCTTCCCAGAACTGGAATTCTTTCTTCTGCACCAGAACCTTAACAAACTAGACTCCTGACACTTATCTCAAGACTCTATTGGTCGCCATTATTTTCAATTTCTCCTTTGACACTAAATTTTGCCAAGTTCATTTTTGGAGCCAATCTGTTCTGAATCTGTTGCCGTTTCTCTTCTTAGACATTTGTTTGGAACCCATCAGCTATCACTGTTATTGATCATCCACCTGTTTGAAATCTAAGTTGCTTGTTCCTCAGATTATCTAAAATACTTGCTCCAAACTAGTAGATTAATCTTAGCCTCTCACTGCTTTCCACCTACATGTAGCCCTGATTCTGATGGCAACAGTGGTATTTAGCACAGTTTGCTAAATTAAGCATGTTAAACTCTAGAAGTAACATATGAAATAGAATAATGGCGTGATCAGTTCTATAAAAGAAAAAAAATTGTTTGTAATATTGTTTAGTTTCTGTCTGTGTGCCAAAAAGTTATCCTTTAAAACTTCATGTACAATTTTAAAATTAAATTCTCCCATTAACCACTCAAAATGTACTATAATCCACATTTCTACAGATTTAAAAACTGGATTTTTCCAGTTTAAAAACTGAATTCCAGAATGGATAAGTAACAGACTCAAGATAATGTTAAATCAGGGTAACTGTAATAGAAACTATGATACATCTCACTCCAAATTCAGTGCTTTACACAAGTTTTAAATAATTTTTGTTAACATTGGCAAGATGCAACATATATTTCTTTTTTCTAAATTTTATTTTTTCTAAATTTTATTTATATTTACTTTATCGACAAATTATAATTGTATATATTTATGAGGCAAAAATTGATGCTATGATATATGAGTACAATATGGAATGATTTGAATCAAGCTAATTAACATATCCATCACTCAAATATGTATTTCTTCTATATAACTTAAATATTGTACCCTTTGACAAACTCCTCCCTACTACCCTATGTAAACATATTTATAGATAACAGGACTCTAGTAGTTGCTGTTCTGAGTGTGTACTCTCCCTGACAAAGAAGCATCAGTGAAATTGGCCAATCACAGTTTTGTTTCACATTTTCTGCATTTTCTGTGCTTAGAGCAATCTTTACTCAGCACACAGTAGAGGGTAGAAATAATAACTAAGAAGTTAACTAAACCACAGAGCCATGTTAAGCAATTTGAGCCTCAGAGCAAATTTCAAGAGAATATAAAGGGCTAAATTTATCAAATTGGTCAGTGCATACATCTTAAATTTATCAGATATTTGCTAATTATTTTTATCAGTATATGTGGTGTACATATAGTTCAGTTCACCCTCAATCTTCTAAAACTCAAAATTCAGACATATATTATGTACTTAATGATTAAAAGGCATGAAGGAATCTCTTAATAGTTTTCCACCCCTATAACTATTACCTTAAGTTAAAAAAGAGCACAGACTCAAACACACAGATACATACACTCAAACACAACTATGAGGAAAGACTCAAAAAAACCCAGAATTTATTTTTAAAATTGTGTATTTTATATGTTTAAACATCAGTCACCT